ATCCTGCTTTAAATTAGCACAAATAGCATTAAAACGAAATGTGCAGACTCACTCTGCCATCTATAACCCACCCCCTATGTTAAAGAAATAAAATAGTATTGAAGAAAACAAAAAAAAATCACTGCCCTGCAGGCTGTCACACATATTGGTACTACAGCAACTGAAATATTTAAGGAACACAACAAAAGTTTTCTTAGTTGAGGTTACTACTTATTTTTAAAATGCCTCTTCCTCATCAAAATGGACTGTTGCTGTTTGATAATGTGTTTGACCTGAGAAAATAAAAACCCTACTCGGCAACAACAAAATGAGAGAATTTGAGAAAGAGGGTAGTTAGATATTTTCAGCTCAGGGTTTTATCCCATGTTGCATCCTGTTTGCTTATTTCTTAGATGTCCTGAGCTCCATTAAATCATTTCCTTTGAGTTAGCGGAGAGGCTTTTAGCCCACACTTACCTTATACTTGAACAAAAGGAAAAGAAAAAACATCACCTTCCTGGCTTTTTGGCATATGGCTTTGTTCAGCAGCATTATAAAGGTTTAGCATTAGGTTTACAATGGAACATGTCCAAACTTCACAGGGGTTTGAGAGACCTAATGTGTTGATTCTAACAATGAGTACAGCAAGTAAAGTAAAAAGTTAGCACATGAATGCTGTTTAGTATGTTTAAGATGGTGATTTTATTTTACACTTAACACAGAAAAAGTAGAAAAAGACTGGTTAAAAAACTGGCAACTATATTTATGATTTTGTAACATTCATCCGTCCAATCTTACAGCTCTAATAATGTGAATAAATAAACACCTGCAAGGTTACATTGAAAACATTTTCTTTTTTTCACCTGGGAAGGTGCTATTTAAGAGACTGAGCTGAAAACAGCACCTCAGACTGAGGAAGTCTCTCGGATGAGAGACGAAACGTTTCTACATTTTTTTGTTGTTTTGCTTTGTTTTGTTTTTTTGAATGTCCAGAGGACCAGATTTAACTTTTTTGGATTTTCTTTTTTTATTTCTGTCATAAAAATGTTGACTTATTTTGGCTGTTCCCTTTTCAGGGGTACCCACAGCAAGTCATCGTCCTCTATCTCACTCTGTCCTCTGCGTCCTGTGCCCTCCTCTCTAACAGCGCTTTTCCACTGTCTCAACTCTCATTGGTTACGCACCGCACCACTTATGCCCACTACAAGTACTCATCCTCACTCAGCATTTTGTTCGTGGCTCCAAGCAAACTCTTCCGAGGTGACAATTTTGACATAAGCAGACAGTAGCCAGCGGAGCTACGTCACTGGATGATCTGCCCAACAAAACTGGAAACTACATGTGAACCTCTATTTCCTACAGCTATCTGAGATGTTGGTGCAGCATGGCTACCCAGGGACTTATTAGCAGTGGCTGGACAAACTAAAGAAACTGAAGTCCAATTATAGGGTGATTAAGGGTCACACCAAGCAGAGTGGCTTGAACTGACCTGTTATGATACTGCCCACTTTACCCATGCTTAGCTACTTATCTTAAAATTCTGATAGTGGTTTAAAACAAGGTAATTAAATATGTGTTAATGCTGAATTAACACAATGAAATTACTGGTAATGCTGTTCAACACAACTGTCGAAAAATGAGTAATACATTAGCACAGTACGCTGATGACATTTACTCAGCTAACTGAGGTCGCTAGAGTCTGAGGTGGAGCTATTTGTTTTTTTCCTGAGTCTGACCTTGGGGTGAATTAACTGAGATGTCCACTCCAGAGACAGATGGTAGCCGTCTTAGGTTTTTATGTTACCTTTATTTACCCAGGAAAATCCAATTGTGATCACATAAGGGATGTCTGGGCCTGAAGGAACATGCTCCAGAACAGCAAATTGCTCAAGAGGCGGTCAAACTGACAATCAATTCATTTTTTCTTTTTTCGATTAATTTTTATTCAAATGTTATTGATGAAAGCAACAAGGGGGTACATAGATTGTTCACAGACAACTTTTCTATTTTGTCGTTGCTTTTGTTTTAAACATGACAACATGGTATCATGGAATCTGATGTGTGTTTTGCAAAATCAATGTTAGATTTGAATAATTTGAAAACTTTGTAAAGACCAGATCCCTTTTAAGTACTAATACAGAAAACACTGAAGAGAGTAGACTTTTTTAAGTTTCTCATGAGCACTGGCTCCCCTCAGGGCTGTGTGTTGAGCCCCCTCCTGTTCACTCTGCTCACGTATGACTGCAGCTACCCATCCAGACTGCCATATTGTAAAGTTTGCAGATGATACAGCGGTGGTTGGATGCATCACAAACAATGATGAGTCCAGCTACAGGCAGGAGGTGGAACACCTGGAGAGCTGATGCAGGAAGAACAACATTCACAAACAATGTGAAGAAGACAAAAGAGATGATTGTGGATTTCAGAAGGAGCAAAAACACCTCCCCCACCCTGAACATAGAAGGATCTGTGTTGGAAGTGGTCTCCAGCTACAAGTACTTGGGTGTACACATGAATAACAACCTCAGCTGGAGCAACAACACCACCAACCTGATGAAGAAAGCTCATCAGAGACACTACTTCCTCAGGCAGCTGAGACGAGCTGGACTGGGAAGCTCAGTACTCACCTCCTACAGGTGTACAGTGGAGAGCATCCTGTGCTCCAGCATCAACGTGTGACATGGAGGCTGCACAGCTGCTGAAAGAAAAGCTTTGCAGAGAGTGGTGAAGGCTGCACAGAAGTCTGTTGGAGTCAGCCTCCCCACCATCACAGACATCTACACCTCCAGATGCAGGAAGAGGGCCACCTGCATCATGAAGGACCCCACTCACCCAGCAGACACACTTTTTGCCCTGCTCCCATAAGGAAGGAGGTTGAGGAGCATTAAGTGTAGAACCACTAAACTGAGGAACAGATTCTACCCTGAAGTTGTTAGATTCATGAATCCCTAACCAGAAAAATCACTGTAATGTCACTTTAATTGGTGATACGTGACTTTATCTGTGTTGCTGATTTGTTACCAATAAGCTGCTGTAATCATCTTGTCCGTGATTTTTGTTGATGAGGGAGAGGGGGGGACACCACATTTGAGCTGCACACTGTATGTACTGACAGTTTTTGAGCGGGTGGGCTGAGGGGGGGGGGGGGCGTTAGCATGGGGGGTCAGCATGATGGATGAAGGAAGACGGAGTGTGAGCGCTCACTTTAATTTTTTAGCTAGTGCGCCTGTACAGTATTGCGAACGGCTAAATTAGCACTAAGTTGGTGCTGATGGGTGGGGAGGGGATGCGAACAGTTCGGCTTGGTAGACGGGGCGCTCGGTCTTTTTGTCAGGATGGGGTGCACCGCTTGTATAATGGTAGGGGAAACACTGTACTGTTTATTTTTATACTTCATATTTTTGCTATATTTGGGTGTAACTGGGACATTGAGTACACAATGTCGTTCCACCTCATGTACCACATGTGATGTGAATGACAATAAAGAACCTTATAAAAAAAAAATAAAAAAAAAAAAATAAAAAAAACTGGTTTGTTCCACTTTGGAGTAAGCTGTTTGGGGGAAGAATCAGTTTTGTGTTGTGTGTTTCCTGGACTGATGAAGCCTTCTGGATGGAAGGTGAAACGTTTCAGAAAAAAAAAAAACTGTCCAGATGACCTGACTGAAAATTGTTGAATAAAGAACCTTGGTTTTATGTTAGTTTGTTGTTTTGTTTGTTTGTTGTTTTTTTTATGGTCAACTTGAAAAGATTCTGCAGAGCTATTTTTTAATGTAAGACATGGCAATGTTATTCTTAGATGAGAAGTAACTTAACTGTAACTTAACGTGTAACTACATTGTATGTTTCTCAATAGCCCTGAAAAACAGAAGCATTAATGCCTTCAAAATATTTGGGCTTTGCTTATTTAAATAAAACATGAAAGCAAAAATATTTAATAAGCATTTATAAAAGCAAAAAAATATTAATGTATCTATCTTATTGTTTAAGTTAAATTGCAAAATAAAGTGACAAACTGTAATGTTAATAAAGCAATATTTAGTTATACCAATGGTTTTGCTTATAACTAAAGAAACCTCTTCAAAACAGTTTCTTACAACAACAACAACAACAACAACAACAACAACAACAACAACAACAACAACAACAACAACAACAACAACAACAAAGCCTAAAACTAGAGGATCCTTCCAACAGTACATATGTTGTAACACTCATGTGACTCAGTCACATGAGCCGTCATCCATCTGTCACCTGCTAGCCTTCTGCAAGCTCAAGTTCCTGAAAATCAATTTAGAGAACCCAACTGTATCTTTGTGGCAATAATTACCAAACAGATCCAATATATCAAATATTAGTGAATAATTCTCCTCCCAGTAATCCAGCCGAGGCTTGTGCAGTTTCTCGTTCATCTGTCATTTTGTGAACATTTAGCCTTCCTAAACTGCATCAACTGTGCTTAAATGTAATAACTACAATAAAACATTGTGCAGATGTCACTTTTAACTTAAATACGAGCCTTTTAAAGCCACTACTGGTAAAGTGACATTAATGAACTTGAGTTCATGTTACCAACTAGCATGCTAATCTAGCAGGGCTGCTACTAGTGACCAATTAAAAATATATTATTTATAACCAATTATTTTGTGAAGCAAATTTATTTTTGCCTGTAACACAAACTCCACTGACAGGTGATATCACCGCGGTACTAACATAAACAGCAGCTCGTTGTTACTCGGCTCCACATCCTTAGCTGCAGTTAGCAATAGGGCGATGCGTTCACGTTCATGTGTTACATCAAATGTTCACACATTTAAAACCCTTATTTTTAGTTGAAAATACAGCTTGCATGAATTAACAAATCAGAGTCATTAGGCAAGTCCATTACCAAAACAAAATAGCCTTACAGCTTATATTATCTACGTTCTCTAAGATACGATTCTAAAATTTCCTTTCAAACTGTCCTCCTGAACGCAGCATAGCAACCTTGTTAGCCGTAGCATGCTAACCACAGAAACATACTTAGCCTGGGTTGAGAGATGTAATTCCTGGTCACAGCTTGAGTGTGTGTCCTCGCAGCAGCTGCCAAGCCGTTGACGTCCATAACTCTGTTTGCCACCAGTGTTGCCATTATTATGAAGAAAATCCGAAAAAGCCTACGGTACTCTGTGTGCTTTGCTAAGTGCTACAGAATTACATCAATGACAGCAGCGCGCTGGTCATATGACAATAAAGAACCGGAAGTGTACAGAGCAGACGGCCGAGGACGCGCGTACTGGGCTCGCGCACGAGCAAATGGTGAGTCACGACTTTAAATTGTAATCCAAACAAGACTTTTTTCCATTTATAATTTTAATAAAGTACGGATCTTTTTATTATTCCAATATTTACATGATTTTCCCAGTGTTTCTCTCATGCATCACAGAAATGTTGCTGGTTTGACAAGTTTGGTTTTCTTTTAGTTTGTGCATAAATTCAATTGGGAAAAAGAAGCATTTCCTTATTAAAATATGATCTGCAAACGGCAAGCTTATGAAGAAGATAATCTACTTCATATAAAAAAATGTGGTTTAGAAAAAGTGCTGCAAACACAATAAACTGGATTTATTCTGCCAAAATTACAAAAAAAAAAAAAAAAAGACAATTGTTCAGAGGCACAAAGTAATATTTTTATGTTCACACATATTCAAAACAACATGAATCAACATGACAGTTGAGGAGTGACTGAGCAGATCAACATCTGGATGCAGATTTGAGCAGAAGTCATTTTATTTCCTGGGAATAATTGGAACAATTTCAAAGAGTGAGAAAACTGGTTGCATCTGCTTGTCACAATCTGCTGAAGGCGCAGGTGGAGCAATGATGTTTTTGTTTGTTTTTGTGATTGTGTCTGTGTGGTCTGTTAGCAAAATATTACATCATCCACTTAGCAAATTTTGATCAAATTTTCAGAAACTAATCATTGGATTGACATCTGCAACTGATTAACCTTTGAAGTCAACTTGTTTCAAGATGGCCACCAAAACTAATCAACATTAGGGAAACTCACAAATGTCAATAACTCTGTCAGTTTTACAGATATTGAGCCAAACATTGAAGTGGCTTCGACCAATCCCCAACTTACTTAGAGTGCTAGCTACGTAATCACATAAGATCTCTTTAAAACTTTAACAATAACTATTAGTCAGCTTTGTCTGACTGTTAGCAAAATATCTCCTTAAATGCTGCACAGATTTTATTAAAATGTAAAAAGATAACAACTAGATCTACTTCTACAATTGATTGATTGATAGGCCTACAATCTGATTACCTCCCCCAGAAAATGTGGAATAAAAGAGATGCATATTCCTGCATTTTGGTGTGTTTTAACAGGTTGTTAAACATCTGTAAACATTTGATTAAATTATTAAAAACAGGTCTCTTGTACATGATGAGGCTCAATGAAACCTGTATAAACAAAGGTTGAATTGAAATTACTATTTTAGAGAGCCGTGAACAGTAGCTCCGATTCTGTCAAGCGTCCCCCCCCCCCCACACACACACACAAATTTCAATGTCTGACCTGAACTCTTCTCAGATTAATTCAGTCCTGCGTGTTGTTCTGTTCCAGTCTCTATCACCACCGCCTTCAATTCTCTGTTGTCCAGCTAAGGACAATCATCCATCTATTTATTTTACATAATAAATTGGATTGTCTTTTTAACATTTTGATCTTGTTATTGTGACTAATTTTGAAACGTGATAATGTGAATAATACACATCAAACATTTCACTCGTGTTTGTTTTTTTTTAATTATTTTTATTGTAAGCTTTTTTATTTATTATCTTTGAAATGTATGCAGGAGTTCTGACACATTAGCAGTTGTGCGCACTCTGCAGAGCTGTCTGGAGACGCTCCTGTGCATAAAATGTGCTCTGTCTGCAGGGCGCACAGCTGATCAAGGTCAAGCTGACACCCCACCCAAGTCAAAAATTCCAGTAAATACAATGAGTGGTTAGTGCTACATTTGTGCTGGTTTGTGCCGTTAAAATGGTCGTTTGTGCTGCTTTGGATTCTGACACACAGCTGAAGGTGGATGAAGACGCTTCATCCCTGCGGGACATGCGTTCAGCGTCTCTGCTGCAGTAACATCCACACCACAGACATGGCCGTCTCCTCTCATTGTATTTCTAATAAATAATTATACGGGGCAGCTGTGGCTGAGTGGTTAGAGCAGTCATCCTCCAATACGAGAGTTGGGGGTTCGAATCCACCAGCAGTCACATGCTGAAGTGTCCCTGGGCAAGACACTGAACCCCCATAGCCTCTGATGTGTGTCCCATCAGTGTATGAATGTGATCTAAAAGCACTGATTAGTCTCATTAGAATGATTTGTTCAATTAGCTTTGCATAGATCTAGTAGAGTGCTGTATGAATGGGTAAATGAGGCACAGATTGTAGTGTAAAGCGCTTTGAGTATGTTGAAATAAGATAGAAAGGCGCTATATAAGTACAGTCCATTTACCAGTTACCATTTATAATCAAAATAAAAATATGCGGTGACTTTAGACTTTTATGGGCGGAGATATTTTCTGATGGATCCAAATGAACAGTTGCCGGAACGCACACGGTGAAAATAAGGGAGTTCTCCGATCTTGTTCCAACAGGATCCGGCTCAAATTAACCCCTGATTTCAACTTTAATGCACTTTAACACACAGCGTCAGGTAGGCACTATTTGTGTTTATAGGCAAATTAAATACAAAAACTCTGTTTCAGTGTTTTCTGTTAGTGAGGTTAATAAATTGTTAAAAAGTCTAGATTCTAGAATATCTGCAGGCCCTGATGACCTTCCTTCTTATTTCTTAAGGCTGGTCACACACATAATTGCAGAACCGCTGTCCCACATCTTTAATCTGTCCATAAACCAAAATACTGTTCCAGATGCTTGGAAAGCAGCCTTTGTTCTACCTTTGCTGAAGTGAGGGGACCCCACTATACTGAACAACTATCTAGGGATTATTGTGCTCCACTTTACTTAGACATGTCTAAAGCTTTTGACACTGTGGACCATGACATCTTATGTCATAAGCTCTCAGACGTTGGTTTCTCAGATCACACTATTGGTTGGTTCTTTAATTATCTCGCAGATCAGAGGCAATGTGTTCAACATAACGGTACTTCTTCCAGCTATCTAAAAAAGTTAAGTCTGATCCTCTGTTCTTAACTTTTTTAGATTTTTCTACCTGGATTATTGAGCATGCATCAAGATATTCTCACAGTTATCTAACTGTTAACAATGGTGTACCACAAGGTTCAGTCTTAGGATTCAACTTCTTCACAATCGACATAAGTAATGTAGGTCAGATCATTCCTGATGCATCCTTACATTTCTATGCTGATGACACAGTTGTTTATTGTCAAGCTAAAACAGTTGCTAAGGTTTTCCAGCTTTTGAAGTCTGCTTTAGACATCATTCAGTCAGATTTGATTCGTCTCAAACTGGTGCTAAATGTTGATTTAACCAGGTATTTTGTTTTCAAACAGGAAATTGGTACCAGCAGTCCTTCCCTCCTTCTACTTTATCTTTATCCCTATTGAGTTGTCGATTCTAATAAATACTTGGGTATCTTGGCCTATTCACATCTCTCTTTTAAGCCTCATGTCGAAAACTTGATAAAGAAATAGAAAGTAAAACTGAGTTTCTTTTTTAGAAATAGATCCTGTCTAACTCTGAACACTAGGAAACACCTTGTAACTGCTACTTTCCTTCCCTCCATTGACTATGGTGACATTATTTACATGAACGCCCCTGCAAGCACCTTGCAGATGTTGTACGCTGTCTATCACGGTGCACTAAGATTCATAACTGCCTCTAACTACTGTACCCACCACTGCACCCTGTATTCATTGGTTAACTGGTCATCATTAACTTCACGTAGACTCCCACACTGGTACATTTTCATCTATAAATCACTTCTTGGTATTTTTGCTTCATATACTGTATTGCCTCCTACATGTCACTGTGTGAGTGCAGCTACAGCGTGCGTTCTCAGGCATAATTACATTCAGTGTACTCTTAGTGCGGGCGGAATTAGGCAACAGGACCTTCTCCTACTCTGCTCCTGGAGCACCTTGTAAAAATATCTGAAGCTCTCGACCTTGACCTTTCTAAGGGATTTTAAACAACTGCTAAGTTCATGGCAAAAACCAACGCAGACATGTTCCTGTTTTTAGTATTTTACATTTCTTTATAATGTACCGGTAGCTGTTTTTGGTTTCGTTTTTATATCATTTCTTCTATTTACTTTTTTATTTTATATGCTTTTTATATGATTGTCTACTGTTGTTTGTACCTCATTTGTGTTCGTGTAAAACAGATCTTAAAGGATGTTTCTCTGTTTAACGATGGACAATTCATTTCAGAGAACCTGACTCCACCTTGTTAGATCTAGTGGTAATGTTGTTTTTGTATTTAATTTGCCTATAAACGCATGTTTGGATGTGCAATACAGTTGAAATTTATTTAAAAACCCACAACTTATTGTCCTCACACTTGGTGAGAAACATCCTTTTGATGAGTAACAGTAGTGTTGAACACAACTTAAAAAAGTCTTATGGTAATGTTTTTTTTAATTTTTTTATTTGCCTATAAACACAAGGAGCAACCTGACGCTGTTTGTTAAAGTGCATTAAAGTTGCAATATCTTTAAAATCCCACAGCTGATTTTCCACAAACTTGAGCTGTAAAGGTTGTTGTAATTGAGCATTCTGGATTTGAGTGAGAGTAAGCTTTCCAAATCCGGGGACGGCTTTGCAGTGTTGTCGACTGGGGTGGGGGTGTTAGGAGGCATGAAAGAAACAGAGCGTGCTTTCTTCACACAAGGAGAGCTGTTGGTCAGGCTACTTCTTGTTGCACCGTGCTCTCTAAAATCGTTATTGAATCAATTGTTTACTTATGTAGGTAAAGATATTAAAAACCCATTAAAGTACACCAGAATGCAGGAAATGGCATTTACTTTATTCAAAATTTTCTGGGGGAGGACTACCAGAACCCCCCACCAGTGTGTCCTCCCAACATTACAAATGTTTCTGACGCCACTATCTTGCAATATTGCACTAGTTTGGACATAAAGTTATTTTCAGTGTTTGACTACAGTGGCTATTACTAATTCATTTCACATTATAAGATGATTTAAAATTCTGATCAGTGAACAGCAGCAGGTGATTTC